TATGTTGTGTAATATGTGCACACAAAAAATTAATGTGCACATGTGCACATTGTGCACATAGATTTTACACACTGGTAAGAATATAATTAATAATTTTAACTATTAAAAAAGATAATATTTGATTAATTTTTAACAAAAAAGTAGGAGTTTATATCTATTAAAATGTAATATTAATTTAATAAATTAAATAATAATTATTTTTTTTTATATATGAGAAAATTTTTAACATTACTTCAAAACACATTATTTTGACATCTAATGATCAGAATTTAATCATTTTTGGTTTATTATATTGTCTTATTAAGTAGAATTAAATACCAAATTTATTTATTAATTGGAATAATATTTATTAATATATAATAACTAAAATATTGCTTAAGCTATCTTAACATACAATGATCAAAAATTAATAATTTTTATTTTATTGGTTTCCTTGCAATTAGACGATTCTAATGATTATAATTATTAAGCTTAGAAAATTAGTAGTAAAAATTCATGTTTCATTTCAATAACATGAAAGATTTTATCAATAATGTATTGCTTTAAATCTTCAAAAATTAGAATTAATTGTAGATATTAAAACCTATTGGAATTTTAATATGATATTAGAAAGAGCTCTTTTATTAAAAATGCTCTTTATAATATAACATCATCTGATAAAAAACTTAATATATATATTCTTTCATATTATGAATGGAATTGTATTATATTAAAGAAATACATGAATTTTTATGGGTTTGTAATTTATTCAAAAATTTTATGTAAAAGTATATTATTTATAAATATTAATTATATTTAGCATTTTAAAAAAAAATTAGATTTTATTACTGGTTAATTTTATTCTACACTTTCATATAGTGTTTTAAATTATAATTATTTAATAGATAAACTTGAAGATACAATTAATAATGATAATAGTAGAACTAAAATTAAAAATTCAGCAAAATTAGCAAAAAGTAAAATTTTAGAATATTATTCATTAACTGATAGACATATTTATAGGTTAGTTAAAATTAGATATTTTTTATTTTTATATAAAAATAATAATATTTTTTATTTATAATTAATAGTAATAAATTCAAGATTAAAATTACAATATTATAAAAATAATAATTGGAAATCTTATTATATTAATAAAAAAAAAATTATTACTAATATTTGGGAAAAAAATATAAAAATATTGCAGATGTTAGTCAATCTTCTAATAATTTAGAAGTTAACTTTTTCAAATATAATACTTGTATTATTTATGTTAAAAAGCAACAAAAAATAGAATAGTGCTATTGAAAAGATTAATTAAGATAGTTAAGACATAATTACTTTAAAAAATTAAAAGTAGATTAGAGTAATAATGCATCATAGAAAGGGAAATAAGCTAAAAAAATTCTTAGATGGAAAATATAACTATTTAAGCTAAATAAAGGATAATTTGATTAGCCAACTAAACTGTCTAGAAAAAATTGAGATTTTTACATTTTTTTACTTTTTTACTTATAGATATAATGATATATATCATAGATACAGTATATAGGTGATTTGCCATTAAAATCATATACAAATAATTTACTATGTACTATAAAGTGATTTTATTAACCAAATCACCTAAATATACATACATATATATATCTTAAAAAAAGGTTTATTTTTTTTCTCTAGAATTTTTATTTTACCTAAATGCATTATTCTGCATCCATTTCTCAAAAATAAAAGATGCAGATAAGTTCGGCTTTTTAGCAATAAAAAGAATGCAAACATACAAGACACCAAACACATGATTTTTTTTTTCACAACTTAGAGTGTAATCATTCAATCCAATTCATACGAATGTAATATCATTGAAAAGGCCAAAATGAGAAATGAGATAATTTATCCTTTTGAAATAAATTTTGTTTTAATCTAAGCCTTAACCTTTATTATTAAGTATAATTCTAAAATGACCTAAATTTTTCGCTATAAAATATAAACTAATCTTGATTTATTACAGTACAAGAAGTTAAAACTTTCGGCAATCAATTTTAGAGAAGTTACACATATGATAATTTTTATCATAATTATTATTAAAAGGACAAACAAAGACAATAATTATTGTGACATTTTTGTAATTCTCGTTTTTAACATAGCCTTTTATGGACCAGTATACGTGTCAATTATCTCATTATACATTTAACTTTTTTTTTTAATACATTTGAAATTAAATTTTGAAAAACACAAAGAATAGTAGTCCGAAAAATGAAAAGATGATCGACATTGAGAATCCCTAAATTTGATAATACCTGTTTATAATATGCAAATGAAGAAAATGGTAAAAAAATAATGCATGCGATAGTAATTACACATTCTTATTTTGGTTACCATTCTCTCTTTCAAACCTTTTTAGTATTCTATATTTACCAATTCTTTAATCTCTAAACAAACACTTTTTTTTCCTTTTTGAAGTCAGAAATACATATCGCAAATAGTCGCAGTCTATAGCATAAATAGATCAAGCTAACAAATATACAGTATATACTGTAGATTAGCTTATATATTTATTAAACCTTTTGATTTCCATTATGAGCCTAATTAACGATGATTTTTGGATCGCGGAATCAGTATCTGGATATTGTGAATCAGCTATATAATTTCCGGCCACTATGATTATTTGTATGTACATTTCGCGACATAATTATCCGGAACTTTTATCGTTAGCACAAAAAGAGGTAATTTTTCGTAGCAATGGATTTCATGCTGGCTATGGGTGAACGTTTTCAATAATAGAATACACTAACCCATACCGTGAAATTTACCCGTTAATTCTTTGTTGTGAATTATGAAGTTCTAGGGATTAATTGTTCTGTAAAACTCTCCATAAGAGTAGAGGAAACTGTTAATAATTAGATTGGAGGAAAAAAATACACTGATTTTTAAAGGCATAATTTGTCGGAAACAGGATAATGCCAATTAAAATATTTTCTTTGATTTAGCAGATAGCATATCAGATCGGATTAGGAGGGTTATAAAAAAGGGTATACGTTTAAATTATTAATTTTTTTTAGTATGTTTAACTATGTCATAAACTATCAATGGTATAAGATTTTGATAAATAAAAAATAAAATTTGCGATATTTTCATATGACGTGTGATAAATTCCGGTCACGAACTGTAATTGCTTATTACAGGATTATTTATATTTGCACGGCAATGTGAGTTCACTTGGCCCACTTAAAGGTCGAGCTGGATTTCACATACTTCGTCATGTGTCCAGCTCTGCTTGTAAAATTTATTAGTTTAGCCGAAACCGAAATGCGTCATTGTTTAGGAAACAAAAAAAATTTATCTTTTACGAAAATGAAATGAAAATGGAAAGTAAACTTCCAGGTTGTCCTTATGATCAACTTTTATAAATACAATTTCATAATCTGTAATATTTTGATGATCATCAGTATTTCCGTTTTCCGAAATTATTTTCGATTATAAATTGATTCACAATCTTCATGGAAACAGCATGTATTCTGTGCACTTCAAATTTCGATCCGCATATTATCTATTCAACGTGTTTTCAAGTATGAAGCATTTATTTTTATATATGGAAGCGAAAACACAAAATATGATATCCCGCTTACCTTTTTTTAATAAAGATCAAAAATTTAGATACCTATCGAAAATGTCAACATTCGCACATCCAGATTACAATAGTTCTGCTTATAACGCATATCGCCCCACGTAGGTTATAATAATTTAACATTATTATTATTATATTGTGTCAAATGAATATCATTCTAACATCATAATATAGTTACGGACAGAATTTATATGATAAAGTATTTTCATACCATAAATCTCATAATGGTAAATTTAACATTGCACTTGACATTGGCACGGGAACTGGACAAGTTTCATCGGAATTATCTAATTCATTTAATAAAGTTTACGCAACTGATATTTCTCCCGTAATGCTTCAAAATGCAATTCAAAAATCAAATATTACTTATTCAATCTCCACCGCGGAGGATTTGTCTCAATTCCATTCCAATTCAATTGATTTAATTACAGCAGCACAAGCTGCTCATTGGTTTGAGATGGAGGAATTTTACAAAGAATCTTTTCGTGTATTAAGACCTCATGGAACCTTAGCGATTTGGGCTTATAGTTTTAACGTTGTAAAAGATTATCCAATTGTTGGTCAACTCATGAAAAATTTAGTTACAGATGAGGATAAGTTAGGTCCTTATTGGGACAAAGGTGTAAAATCTATAAGTAATTTATATAAAGATTTTAAATTTCCCGAAGAGATGTTTCAAAATATTAAATGGGAAATTTACGACGGTGATGAAAATTCAGATGTTGAACCATTTTTGGAAGTTGCATGGACCGTTCCTCAATTTACAAAGTTTATGAAGGTAATTAATTACCTCAAATGTTTCATTCGAATAGTAGATTTTAACCGAAAATAATATTGCTTTTCTAGACATGGAGCGCCTACAAAAATTATTTGAAAGAAAATCCCAATTCACCAGACATTGTCGATAATTACGTTGCTGATCTAAAACAACTTATTGAATGGAAAGATCACGACGTATTACGCATTAGTTGGCAAAGCGTGTTGATATTGGCTCAAAGAAGAAATGTGAACCGCAGCAAATAACACGATATATTTCATTTGAGCTCAACTTTAAAAATATCGAGTTCGTTTAATAGACAAAAAGTTTTGAATAAATGCTTTTTCAACCCTTTAAAAGGAATTCTCAATGTGGTCTTTGCTTCGATCTTCATATAATGTAAATAAAAAAAATTTTACTTTATTATACTAAGTCCAACCAAATCAAGAAAGGAAGCATCCAATTATGCGACTAATGTAACACTAATCTGAAATCTAAATGTACACTGAGATCATGATGATGTCATTGTATATTTTATAGTACATTTCAATTTATATTAATTACTATATGATATCATTAGAAATTTTTTTTTTGATTATTTTTCTTATGATTTGATCCCTTAATTTCTCATACAAATACCACCGAAATATTCATTAAAAAAATTTTTTCTTTATGCTTTTTATTACGGAAAATGCTGCGAGAATATTATACCATGCTTGATGGGCTGATACCCAAAAATATAGTGAATCAAGGTATTTTCTGAAATTTTTCGGAGAAAAAAAATACGATACTGCTTGAGAGTTGCGTTTCACCTTTTTCTTTTTTTGCTTTTTTTTATTTCGTTGGGCCTTTTACGGGGATTTATCAATTTCTTGAACTTTCCAATGATGAATGATGAAATAAACATTCATTTGTAATCAAGAAATGCAAAATTCATTTTTCAATATTACTTATTGAATTCTTAGATATATATATATATATATATTTATGCATGCCTTCCAAAAAAATGAAATCATTTTAGATCAAAATCGACCATTTTATTAATGAATTATGCTTTATGAATGAAAATAGATCATGAAATCAATCATTTGGCTCGACGTAATTTATTGCAAGCACGTGCAGTAGTAACTGTTACGGTTTCAGCGTTAACAGCTCTTTTAGCACAACTCATGATGGATATTTACATATCATACAAAAATACGAGTGAATTCATAAGTGGCTTTTCGTTGCCATCTGTTTCTTCGCCTTTTTCTTTGATTGGAGTTTTAATTTTTGCAGGTATTTACGATTTCATTGATTACAGCTGGTTGCGGAGTTCCACATCTAAATCATTCAAAATAAATTATTGAAGCGAGGTGTATAATTACTGCGCCTCCGGTTTTTATGAACCATATGAAATTTAAAAGTTTTTCTGTAAATTTTTTTATTCCGACATTCTCCTTTTAGCGATATTATATTTTATAACTTCGGAAAAAATTACGATATCTCAAGCTGCAAGGATTGTTATATATTTTTTCTTGTCGATATCGGCTTATATCTCTTTTATAGGGAATGGTAATTATTTTAAATTTAAAACTTTAATTGTTGAATGATGCACAACAACTCACCACCTTTTTCTACCAGGATTTCAAGCGCTAAGTCACGCAAACTTTTTTGCCGTGCCGCCATTTAGGTAAGCTCATGATGTTCTATGTACTTTAATATATCGCATTACCTTTAATGGCCGCATAATTTCTTTAATTACATAAAAGTTATATCTTTGTTTCTAAAAACTTTGGAAAGCAAACCACGATCTTAGTATGCATAATATATACCACAGCTTTTTTCCGGTAAGAATATCTTAGTGAATACGAATGTGTGAATTCTTTTTTTAACAAGTTCGTTCTTATGGTTTCGTTGAATATCAGGTCAGTCGGGGGAGAGATGAGCCCACTTTCATTATCATCAACCGGTTGGGTCGTCTGTGATGTTTATATAATATGCCTAGTATATTTTTTATTTGTAAGTATTTTTTTGACACGTTATTACTTTTGAACCCATTGCTTAATTTCACGTGACTTTTTTTAGGTAGCTTACGAACAAGAATATCAATCTAACCAAGAGCGATTGCAGAAGTCATTAGATGAAGTAAGTGAAATTTAATATATATATATTAAGTTTCTTTCGACCAATATTTTTTCGTTTCGTTTGTTATAGGCAAAATCTGCAGCGACCGCCAAATCAATGTTCATTTCGAACGTTAGTCATGGTAAAGACACAATTCAACAATTATGGATGGATATATTCATAAAACATATACATTGAATTAAATTTTGTATTTGAATTTTTAACCATTTGACTTTCGCTTTATTTTTCGATTATTATTAGAACTAAGAACAGTAAGTGAAGCTTTGTTGGTCTCAAATCATTTTAAATCGCGCTTAACTTTATCAACATGAATATAACTATTATGAATTATCTTATCACGTAAAGCCGTTACACGGTATGTGAAAAAATAAAATTATGATGCCTGTATGTCACATTCGCTATATTCACTTGTTATTGCATAGGAATACTTGCCACAGTTGAAATTTTAGCAAAGACAAAATTAAACGAATCTCAACGCGCATTACTTAACGCAATCGAAAGTTGCGGAACAAATTTAATTTCGGTAAGATATTGTAAAAAGTTAATCTTAATTCGTATTACCATGTTTCTTACTTATTTGCATTTCAATACAGGTAGTAAACCAAGTTTTGACTTATGCAAGAATTGAACATGGTAAATTGGAGCTGGTAAGAATTAAATTAGATAAGGAAATATAGTTGAAATTGTTGGGGAGTTTTACTTTAACATAAAAAAATATACTTTAAATTTGATTAGGAACGAAATGTCTTTGATATTTATTCCGTTATTCAAGAAATAGGAGATGGTAAGGATGTGCGCTTAAATACTCGATCCGTTGTTATCTACAATGATTTAAAGTTTTATTTATTTTTAGGGTTGGCGCCTATACCTGAAAGAAAAAATTTGGATTTTTTTGTTGGTGTGGAAATGAATCCGTTACATAGGTTTCTTGTAGGAGACGTTGGGGTTTTGCGTCAAATTATTTTGAACGTAATTATTATTAATATATTAAATAAATATATAATTCCTTTTTTTATAATATATTCTTCTTTTCATAATATGAGCCCTGAATTTCATAATGATCCGCGACCTAACATTTTCTATTTTTATTTCTAGCTTCTCGGAAATTCGGTATATTACTTTTTTTTGTAGTATACTAAATTTGTTGAAATTCCATTCAATTTTTTTTAATATGAAAAAAATTTGTTAGATAAAATTTACTGATAAAGGAAGGATTGATTTAATTACAATTGAAATATCCGAAGACGGAGACAAAAATCAATCACAAGAAGCTGGGACTTCGAAACAATTGAACTCCATAAAAAAATCATTTTCTGAATCAAAAAATTCTTTTAGACAACCTAATTCAGAATTCAAACAAACCGATAATACTCAAGAAGGTCCCAAAGCTAAATTTTGTATTGAAGTAATTGATTCGGGACGTGGCATTGCACCCGAATTCATAAATCATATGTATCAACCATTTTCGCAGGTTTGCTAAACCACATTAATTAAAAAAAAAAATTTCTTTACTTTTAAAGTAACGTTCTATTGATATTTATACGCGATTTCTTAAATGTGTGTTACACAGGAAGACTCTTCTTTACGGAGGAAATTCGAAGGAACTGGACTAGGCCTTAGCATCGTAAAAGGTAACATTAAATTTTCATTGTAATTGATTATGCTACATTTCTAATTTCAAGTTTTCCTTTAAATATATATATATTTATATTTTTCTAGGGCTTCTTGATATGATGCATAGTCGACTTGAAGTTGATTCGAAACTTGGACGAGGCAGTAAATTTTCTTTTAAAGTTGAATTACCAATGTCAGATCGACTTGACGATATGTACGCTTCTCCTCTTCCATTCGATCACAAATATCTAAAACTTTCATCATCAGAACAAGAATCATTAACAAAAAGGCTTCGATCCTTATCATATGTCGTATTAAATACAAAGGACTTTATATTCTCACAAAGAATAACGCATTGCTTGGATCAATGGGAGTTTAATTATAGATTAACGAGCAAAGATGAATTGAAAATTGAATGCACAAAACCGAAACATGCAAATCTTATTATCTTGAATGATAACATTAGTGATTTAGAATGGTTCTTGAACGAGTTTACGCATCGAATATCGAGTAAGTCGATCAGAAAAGAATCCGCAAAAGAAAACCAAGTTGAAGAGGAATGTATTAGAAAAGATATAGAATTACAACAACGCGTATTATTTTTTGCTACAATAGGAAATTTTCAGGAAACCGAAAAGGTTTTAAAAAAATACAAATCACAAAGCGTTATAATAGTAACGAAACCTGCAGGTCCCGTTAAACTTTTATCAGCTATCATAAAGGTTATGGAATCTTTACTGAAGAAATCTGAAGAGCCATCAATAAGCGAGTATCATAATGTAATGAAAGTTCAAGAAGCAAAGGAAAGATTAATTCGGGAAGAATACATTAATTTCATTAAAGACTCAAACATTAATAAGATTGGACCAATGGATATGGGTGAATTAGCAATTAGTCCAAGCAGACTTACACCACCCATATTAGCTGAAGGAATTCTATTCGGGATGGATAAAGAGACAATTTATGAACTTAAAGAGCAAAAAGAACAATTAGAAAGAGCGAATAAAGGCAAGAATAAAGCTAGAGTAGCACCGATTAGTGAAAAGAAAAAGATACAACAAGATTCCAAAGATATATCGTTTTTAATCGTTGAGGTGAAATGTTTTTTCCTAATAATTCGTTTTGGGCATTTAAACATTTTTTCTTATTGTATATATTTTATTTATTTAACATAGGATAATAAAATCAATGAGATGATTTTAATAACAATGTTAAAACAATCAGGGTACTTTAATTACGATGTTGCAAATAATGGACTTGAAGGTTGAGATTGATATAAATTTTTTTTTTTTTAAATAAAAAGAGAAGGAATAAAGTTTTTTTTTATCATTTACGCGACATTCCTTTTAATATAGCTGTTAAAATGTTTTCACAGAAATCATATGACATAATATTTATGGTATGTAAAAACGTTAATTCTTAATGGTTAATTCGAATTATAATCTTTACTGATGTATTATTATACAGGACCTTCAAATGCCAATATGCGATGGTGTAGGTTATTATATATTTGCTCTAATGCATTTGCTTTATTTGCGTGTAAGATTTTTTAACATGGAATTTTTTTTTCCATTTATTTCATCTATTAGATAGAAGCAACGAAAGAAGTAAGCCTACTATTATTTTTGCGCTTTTATTCATTATGATTCATATCTTTGATTCAATATCAATCACATTTCTCTTTAAAATAAAACAAAAAAAAAGATACGGAAAATTGAGCGTGGAGAAGAATCATATTTAGTACCACCTATTACAAAAAGTCGAGATTCAATATCAGAATCTACAAATATTCTTGATAATAAAAGCGTTTGTACGGAAGAACAAAATAGTATTTGTATTCGACGAAAAAAACGAAGAAAAAAGGCTATAATAGTTGCAATGACTGGACTTGCTTCAAAAGTATGAGAAATTACACAACTAAGGCTCGATCTCTCTATATCACCATTTTTTTTTTTTTTTTTTTTTTTAATGAATGTGTATTAATTCTCGAACTTAAATTAAATTGGCACGTAAAATAGGAGGATAGCCAAGTTGCGGTAAAATGTTTTAAGATTATTTTTATTTGTATTTTTAAGTAAAAATGGCAATATTCTTATATTCTTCCTTCTATAATGAATCTAATGAATATGTTTAGGAATCGGCTGGATGTAACGAATTTTTGACAAAGTATGCATGGCAATCTAAACAATATTTAATTGTTTGAAAGTTATTAATATTTAATAAGTGCGTTTTAATTTTAATTTTATAGGCCAGTATCGATAAAATCTTTAGATGCACGTATGAAAATTTGGACAAAAGACGTATTAAATGTGGAAGAAGAAGAAGAAAATGATGATGAAAAAAGAGAGGAATCCTCGGTAGCCGAATCAGAAAAGTAATTTGTAAACACTTGATTGTAATAAACATTTATCGGCGAGAAATTTTGATAAACCCGTAAATAAATAAATGTATGCAAGATCCTAGCTTAAATGATGTAATGTGATCATCATAAATATTATCAAATTTGTAAAGTGTGAGAGAGTTTTAAAAATCGCGTGGAAAACTATAAATAAAATGACAATTTAAGATTATCTAAGCATCATTATTTGTGGCTGTCGAATATTTTGAACAATATATTAAGGAAACCAAAAAAAAAAAAAATCTGTTTTATTAAAAAATGATGGAGTCTTCACAAAATTCACAAATTACCACTACGATCTATAATGAAAAGAAGATAACTTTTGATGTTCCGGGATGGGGACACACTCTAGTATCAGTTAATGAATCGATGAATGCGCAAAATCTTTACTGGTTTGTCGGACTTGATAGTATTGATATTATTAAAGTTATATATAGAGTCGATGATTTGGTTTTCGAAGCTTGTAAAGATGAAAGTGTGAAATTTATCTATGACAAATGTGATGATAAAGTTGTAAAAGTTGTACCTCTCTTAGAAAATGTTTCCGAAAATGATATCGTTATTAATCATTTTTGGAACCTTTCTATATTCGTGAAAGAATTATTTTTTGGAGCTTTACAAGATCTTAAATTTAAAATAGTAAGAAAACCTCCTTTAAATTTCCTAATTTTTCAACGGGTCTTGTCTTAAATTTATCTTATTTATAGGAGGAATTGGATATCAAATCAATTTGTTATGGTGTTTGGCAAGACTTCAAATTCTTATTAGAAGTTCTTGACCTAAGAGGAATGTGTACAAGTATGTGGATAGCGATCAAACACATAATCGTAAGTATCCTACGATTTAATATAAATGAAAAATATAACTGTAGCGTATAATGTTTATCTTATCGTATATTCCTTAAAGGATAAATTTGATTTCCAAACGATATTCATTGTTGCTAGAAGATATCCGAGATATTTGTTGGTAATGTTAAAAAATACGCATACACTTAATAAGCGTGACACATTAATTTCTACTTTACTAATATGGGGCAATTTTTTTTTTTTTTTTTTTTTTAGGAGGTTATTAATTCAAAGGAAATATGTTCCGGTACTTGGCAGGATATTAAATTTTTATATGTAAGGTTTTTTTTTTTAAAAAAAAATTTTTGCCATCGATAATGTAAATTGAGATTTATTATATTAATAATATTAATTTGATTGCAGGAAACGTTTAGGATACGTTTATAGTTATGAAATCATAACAATTAAAGAAATTCTTGGGAACTATCCCCCTTTTGTTTTTTTCACCCCAAAAAATATTACAATTTTGATGAAATATTTTGAACATTCGAAATAGGCGCAGTAATCATCTTTTTTTTTTTTTAAAAAAAAGGGGAATATTTTAATCCTAATGAATTTCAATAAATTTTTTTTTTTTTAAAAAAAAAAATCCTAATAATAAAAGATTTTTTTTTTAATTTAATTTTTAACAGAATCTTGCGTTTATTTTTATTCAAAATAAATTTAATTAATTCAATAAATTTATAATAAAATAATAACCTTACTAAATATATTTAATAAGATCATTGATAATAAAGTTTTAGGTTTAGATTTAAGAAAATTTTTAATAGCACTATTAATAAAATTATAAGTTAGAAAATGAAATAAAAGCGAAATAATGATATTATACATTGCAGAAAACGTGTTATCGGATTAGTTTACTGTCAGTCAATTCCCGAGTTTATTACTAATTAAATGTTATAAAAATGGCCTTTTCCGGTGCCGTACTACTTCGCCATGATAATACAAAAAAGTAAACGAAAATTTATCAACGTGTAGAAACCGAAAAAATACTTCGCTCGATTAATTAATACATCAAAAATCTTATCTTTCACCTTCAACTGATATAACACTTCTCAGGCAAATATATAGCAACGATTCTGATTAACATTTTAAAGTTAACAATAATTCCTTCAATCAAAATAAATATTATCTAGATATGCGACAATTGCTTATAATCAAACTTAAACTTCTGCGAGGATGATGAGAAACTCACTGCATTTATTTCCACAAGACGACAATTCATTTTATTAACAGTCTAAACGATAAAATTAAGCTTATGTACAGTCGCGTCACAAAGTATCGCCCGATCAAAATTTTCAAAATTTTATAATAAAACATAAAAAATAGAATATTTGCATTTTTCTTTACAATATTCTCTGAATTATATATCATTCTATGGCTAATCAAATGTACTTTCAAAAATAAACCAAAAAAAAGCGTCCTATACTTAAGACGGAGCTACTATAATTATAAAAGTTGAAAATTTTTATATACATTTTTCTATATCTATTATTATAAAAAAAATTTACATATAAAAAATTGAAATTTCTAAACCATATGGGGTCTTTGCAATAGAAAGGGGGGAAACTGCCGGGAAAAATTAATTTTACTTTTATATTCCAAATATGATTTTTCCGGCAGTTTCCCCCCTTCTATTGCAAAGGCCCCATATATACAATCGTATTACTGTTAAAAATTATTTCCAAATTTAATTACATTTTGCTAATAAGTTATAAGTTATATTTTTTAAAAAAACTAATACCATAAAACTTAATTGGTTTTAAAATTTATAAAAATTTTTTTTTATATACATTTTACTATATAATTTCAAATCGGCCGTTACTTTACGACGCGACTGTACTTGACTTCTGGTTTGTTCTCAACTTTTTTGAATAATATTTGTATACGCTTTTATATTTTGCTAATACTTACTAATTCTCTTCCCCCCCCCCCCCACCCCCCACCCCCCAATTAAAACAAATAATAATATTAATTGTCAAATCCTAAAATTGGCTAATGAGCTGATTTTTTACTGCAACATCCAACAAGATACAAAATCAATAATGAAGCTCCAAACTTGAATATGAAATAAAAGATCACGAAAAAAGAGCCTATGAAAAGAGAGTTTGGATTGGATCGGATTGGTCCGTCACACTCAGAAATAGATAATTATTACCTTTGATGATGCTATTCGAAATCGCAGATTGGTTCTTTCCATTACACTAATTAATTGAAATTGCTGCGCTCGACAATCGATCCGTGATTGGAGAAAGTTGACGTCAAAAAAGTTTATATATACAAATAAAATCAATAACGGAATAATAATATCATTTATAATTAAATCTTTTACCACTTTGAAAATCGCGACGTACGTTTATTTTTCACATGATCAAATCAAATTTTAAATATAATTTTTTGATACATTCATTTTAAGTGCTTTTATTGCCAAAGCTCAGATACAAAAAGAACGATCTACAGTTTTATTGCTTCGTGGCCAAAGGTGAATTTGCTAGGGCAATCACATGCTGATCATATGTTATATAATCCCTTTGAGATGGAAATATCCTTTGAAGAATTTGAACACTTGTACCCTCATTTTTATGAAAATAGTGATAAAATTCTATAATTTTAAAGTGAAACCCTGTGATAAAACATGTACACGAAACTTATCTGTGAAAAGATGGATGTGTGGAATTTTAAGCGCTTTAATTTGATGTACTTACAACTAATTGCTGCCAAGTTATTATATATTTATTCGAGGTACTGAAGATCCATGTAATACATTCACCTGATAAATATCGGTTTTACTGGTTTTAGAAATAAAATTCTCGAGAAGTTATAATATCCTTGCGTCGGGATACTAAATATGGAAATGATCGGATATGATCGTAAATAACGCTGGCCAGACATTATAAATGTGGGCCGGTAATTTGGGATTCCTTTTTTTTGAAAAAAAAAATTCGTAATTTAAATATATTATGCTCTTATTAAATCTATCTTCAATCATAGAATCTTCGATGTATTCCATCCGATATTTGTCATCAGGGAGTATATATATCTGACTAGAACTTTTAATTAATAGTTTGTTAAAATGTCATTTACTCGTGCGGTGCGTGTAACAAGAAGTTCATGCAGTATAAAAACGTGTTACCGCAGGTTTACCCAGTTAAGTCTCGAGTTTCTTTTAGCTTGCTGATATATATTTATTATACTTAATTTTTATCAATTCATTCCTCTCAGATTTTTTATTTTCAAAGTCTAAAAACACTCCTTATATTTTCATCCACCTTTCTTTTTCTTTTTCTTTTTAAAGAGTCCCTTAAAGTAGACGTCGTCTTTAAGTTCTCTTTCAAAAAAAAAAAAAATCTCTCAAATCTCGAAAAGTTTAAATTTTTTTTTTAAAAAAATAAATTCGAGTACATTATTTCCATCTCTGATAAAGTTGACAAAAATCTGCGCGCATGAGTAACGGTGAACTCGGTAAGATTTCTTAATAAGTTTTGGTGTTTTTTTTTTTTCACAGTTATATTATTATTCTCTGTGAATAGAAAAAACGTTATGAAACCTAATATTAATTGAGCAGAAAGTAGGGGTTGTTCCTTTTTTATCTTATTATTATTTATTCATTTATTTATTTTTTTTTAAAAAAAAAAATAGATTCAACTTAAAAACACCTTACCTTCCTTATATATAACATTTTATAAACATTTTATCTTTTATTTTATTTTTTATTATTTATTTTGTAAATAATTTTATGTGGGACCGGTTGCCCATCATTGCATAAAATTATATATTAATTTCATGTATCATTAATTAAATTTTTCTGAACCCGAAATCAATTCTGAAACATCAATTTTTTACTTATATATATATATGTAAAGGATCGGGCAATATTGACGCCCTAAAACAACAGGTTCACAGTCTTCGACACGACCTTGAAGAAAAAAACGCATTACTTTCAACAGTACAAAAACAACTTAGTAAAAATCAACCAAACGGTACAAACGGAATTATGACGAACGAATCCACTACAGGAAGGGTAATCGAACATTTACAGGCCGAAATCGATAGTTTAAAAAAGGAACTTGCTGAATCAAAAACTTTAATTCATGTGGCCAAAGTTGCTCGTGAAAGGGCCGAAAGGCAAGTTTCGGAACATTTAGCTTCACATCAAACTTTACGTCTTGAAATTGATTCTTTAAAAAGAATGTTTGAACGTAAAGAAAGACAATCCAAGGAATTAGAGGAATCAACAAAAGATATTGAGAAAAGAAATTCGGATATGAAGTATGAACGTGATAACGCTCATACAAGACTTCGTCAATCCGAATTAAAAGTATCAAATTTGGAAAGGAATTTACAAGAGGCTTTAGCTTTAAAAGAAAAATCTGAAATTGAATATTCCCTCTTATCTAAAGAAATGCAATCTTTTAAAACTAGATATGCTAATGATGTTGAAATCGTTAAAAAAGAATTTAAAGTTCTTCGACAAGAGATGAGTTCCACTTCAAGATCATTAGAAGATGTTGTTTTAATGACTAGTGTTAAGGTTGAAGAAATAACCTCGGAACGTAAAGAAGAGATAGGAAATTTAGAATCTATTGCTGATAAATTGAAAGAAAATCAAGAAAAACATGCTCAAAAATTATTTTATGAAATTGAAGCTATGAAAAAAGACGTAGAACATTCAAGTCTGAAGACAAGTGAACATAGTGAACAAGTTGCAAAGATGAAAGGTGAAATAGTAGGAAAATTGAATTGGTTAAAACGTGTTCAACGAACTTGAATTTAATCTCAAAGCAAATAATACAAGTTGCATCTAATACATAAAAGATTAACCAATTTTAGTAATGAATGGATTGGATATTCTTCATTATTATTTATTAAAATTTTTTTTTGCTATTCATTTCTCATAATTGTCTTTCATTTTTTTTTTTCATTCATTATTTATTTTTGGTAGGGTGTTAATTTTTCTAAAAACAAAAAAAAAAAATTTCTTTTTCTTTTGTAGATTTTTGTATTTCTTATAAAGTAGTTTATATACATTATTAATTTATTGAAAGCTATACATATATACATATATATATGATGAAATATTTGAAATATTTTATTAAATTATATATTTATTATAAGTTAACTAGCTAATCAGCATGAAGGGTTGATAATAA